TTGAAATATGAAGCTTAAATTAATATATTAAATCATTAAATTTAAACTAAATTGAATAAATTTAAAACTAAGGGACAACATTACAATATCAAATAAAATTAAAAAACACGCGGATTTTCTCCCTCGCTTAAGCCACAAGGCTACAACTGTGGCGCCAAAAACAAGCGGGTTTTCTCCCTCGCTCTTTTTTTCCTTCTTTTAATTTTTAAAATGCTTTATGGTTCTTTTTTAATATATCTATTTTTCAGTTGTCTTTGGATTTGGTTAAGCGCTGGCTAGCAGACAATGCGGAGCAAGCCATATTGAGAAACGGGAAAGAGATGAGCATTAGCAGGATTGCCGCTTATCAACCTTTCGACGGACTGATGGAGTTCAAAGTGGTAAACATTGTAAAATACATGTTTTCTTTTGTACTTTAGTTTAATGCTATCACTCTATTCACTATCACACTTTCAGTTTACTGCTAGGTGTTATTACTATTTTCAGAAGAGGCGTGGGGTCTGCTAAATTGCTAATAAGCTTCATTGAACTTGTCTTAAACTGTATTTATACGATCTGAAATTGGAGATCTCATTTTGTTGTAATCTTTGTTATTGTTTATCTATGTGGTTCCTTACACTATAAATTACTTGAATTTCAGGTCTTGCATGGTGCAAAAAGGGGAGAAAAAGCTGCTCTACTGCTTTCGCCATTGAAGCCTTTTTTGTATGAAAATATTTAAACCTACTTTCCTTCCCGTTTCATTCCACTTCGCTTCCCCCAAATTCCACAGAATTTTCTCCTCTTCTTATGTTCCCTAAAATTTACCTAACACTTTATGCTATTTTAGGTTCAATTAAGTGGATTTCTACAAGCCCTCTTTGCCTCTCTGCTTCAACTTTCACTTTACGTCTTCGCTGGTTTCTTCTTTGACGAGCTCCGTTTCTGGGTAGAGAAAATCTTACCACTTTGATTTTCCCCATTTTCAGTTATCTGATTATGTTCTATCATGTATTATTTCTCTTTTTTATTTTATTTTATTGATTCAGTCTTTTTATACATAACTAATCGATCTTTTGAATTGGGTTATTTGATCTGCTTATGTAGATTAGAATTTTCACTTTTTGTTGTGGAATGATTGTTACGGAAAGATATATATTATGTTAATAATTATAACATCTTAGAATTAAAGGGTTGGAGATTATAAAGGTTTAATTAAGAATCTGACGAATATTGAAACATTTTAAGTTATTAACTTGGAATGAATTTTCTTATATTTGAAGAATTTGAATGGCTTTCTTTTATTTTGTTACAAATATTGGTTCTTAGTAGCTTCATTTTTGCTCCTTCGTTTCCCCCTGCACCATGGACTGATCTGCAGCATTTTTCTCTGATTATGTGAAAAATAGAATTATGATAAATCTTGTCGGGTTGGGGTCTGGTTTACCTTTAATTTTTGGAATCATGTTCGAAACAGGTAAATTAATATTAATTCGGATTCAAATAGTGATAGAGTATATATAATAGAACACTAATTTTGAGTGTGGTTTAAGTGTCGAAGCCCTTATTTTTGTGGAAATATGCCTTTTTTTCTTCAGTCTAAACCTACAGTTTTGCTTTATGGGTTTGTTGAAACTTGATTTTTTAGAGGCAGGTTTTAGTTTTGTGATATCTGCGTGAGTTTTGTGCAAAAGTGAATTTTGTGAATTTTTTGGGTTTAAATTTTGATTCAAAAAAATAGTAATGAAGAGACGTAAAGATGATGACAAGATCATGGGGCCTATGTTCCCTAGGCTTCATGTTAATGATACAAAGAAAGGAGGGCCAAGAGCTCCTCCAAGGAATAAGATGGCCCTTTATAAGCAGCTTAGTATTCATTCTCAGAGGTTTAACCCTGGAGTCTTGCCTCATAACCCTAACAATTCAAGCAGCTGGGTTCCTACTGGTTCAAGCCAGGTATTTTACTGCAGTTTATATGTCTTTGTTGTTCTTATTTGGTTAAAGGTGTATTATTTTTCTATTTATGTTTGAATAGCGTATATGTTTTGTGCTTTCTACTGAAGTTTTGGTTTGGCTATATGCTTTGTTTGAATAGCATATATGTTTTGTGCTTTCTGTTTGCTTGTGAATTGCTTTGGTTATGTCGCTTGCACTAGAGTGGACTGGAGCTCGGTAAGATTGATGGTGCCAGGGATGTCCAAGCTTCTGTGGTTTGCGTCTCTTTAGCCAATGTTGGGGATGATCCCTGTTTAAATACTTCTTGATTCCTCTACTTCACTTGGAGGCTTTGTTTTTGGATATGTTTTGGGATGCGTTCTGCAGCTTTAGCCCTTCGTTTCGGCTTAATTATGGTCTCCATGGGTGTGTGGCTGTTATTATGAGTGGAAGATTATTTTTAGTGCTTATCTATAGGAGTGGATTTACCAACTGTACGTGCACTCTTTTTATTTCACTTAGGTTTAGTGTGGTTTTTTAACGAGGCTCTTATTGTTGTGGTGTGTTTTATATGACTATTAAGGCTGATATCAAATACGCAGGAAAAAAAAGTATAAAAACAGTTTTAGAACTAAAATGTCTATTACTTACTAATGGCTTGTAAATTATTGTTGTTGGTCTGATTTAATTCAATTTTTGAACCTTTTAAATTCTTATCTAAATAGTTACTCATGTGGAATTATGTTGGTGACATTTTGGCTTTTAAAGTTAGAAATTTACCCATAATTAATAATGTTGACATCATTTAGGTATAAATGTTTGACGATGATATTTCTGGTAGTATAGTTACTTTTAACCTTGTAAAACCTTAACTATAAGATCTTAGAGCATTTATTCCAACATAAATTTATTTTGTTTAGTTGATTTTATTGTAGTTTTAATGTTTGCAAGTGTAATAAAATTAACTTCATTTATAATTTTTTATTTTAGTATTTGTAATGTTATCCAAGTTTCAAATCTTTAATAAGTTTATCATTTCAACTAATATCTTTTTATTTTAAAATTTTAAATTAAGTTATATTTAAATTATTAATCAATTTTCACATTAAAAGTAAATTATATTTATGAATATTTTAACTCAATTTATATAATTTAATAAAATAATGTTCAATAAGTCAATATTTAAATTTAATTTAGTGATTATAAATAAAATTTATAATATAAGAATTATAAAGAATATAAAGAATTTGAATTAATATAAAAATCATATTTATAATATACAAATTATAATATAAGAATTATAAAAAATATAAAGAATTGTAATTAATATAAAAACTAAATTTATTTATCATAAGTTTATTATAAATTTAAAATAACATAATTATATTAATTGTAAATTATTACATATAAGTCAGGATAATATCAGATCACTTTAACATATCAAATCATTTACAAGTTGAGTCAATTACAGGTCATGTGCATAACAGGTCAGGTTGAAAACAGGTCGGGTAATACCAGTTATTTACCAGGTCAATCTCGGGTTCGGGTTCATATCAGTCGGATGCAGTTCGGGTTCGGGTATCATATTTTCGGTTCTATTCGGGTTCAGGTCGTTCTCAGGTCGGATGCAGGTCGGGTTCAGATCCATAATTTCCAGGTCCAACTCGGGTTCAGGTAAACATCAGTTCCAACTCAAGTCGGTTTCGGATCGTCACAGCGCAGGTCAAAAACAATTTTAACTCGAGTCGATTTCAGTCAATTTTACAGGTCGGGTCAATTTTTTACACCCTATTTGGGGTGGGGTCGGGGGGGGGGGGGGGTTTGTCCTATATTTGATGCTTATTCATGGTTCTATCGCGGTAAGTGCTATTGTTTGGATCATCTTCCTAACTTTTTGGTTTCCCAATAAAGATTGCCTTTAGCAGAAGGGAAAGCAGTATTTTTGTCAAGGATAAATATTTTATATTTTTCATTAGAAATAGGTTATACCTTTTAACTTATTCTTATAAATATATTATATGATGTGGATCGAGAAATAGATACAACAAAGATTAAGTGGATCTCGTGATTGATATGGACGATGAGACGGAAATGATTTTAATCTTGCTAATTGTTGAACGTGAATGGTTTTAGATTTTATATCTGCAGTGAATCGCGAAACGGGAATAAAAATGAAAATTCTTGACAAGGATACGTGCAGGAGTAACATCCTTACACATGCTCTAATTCACATCCCCATATATATAGTAATTATCTGTTCAAAAAAAATTATAATCATCGGTATTGAATGTACTATGCAGATATAATTATTCGAACTCATGATGTCAAGAGAAAATAATATTTCCTTTAATCGTCGAAATCACTTTAATTAATAATTTTAAATGCTTGTTTTAGATTATTCTAGGAACCATGCGTTTATAGTATTGAATGCTCTCTTAAGTTTCACCATATTCAGAAACAAATGGCCGCATTCCAAATGAAGGCGTATTTGAAATTGAACTTAAATTCTCATTGGTCCTTTGCTTCAATATCAAACTTGAAAGCTATCATTTTCTTTAAAGCACGCAACACATTTCAATAATCAATATTATCATATTTTTTTTGTATAAATAACGTTATTCATGTTCTAGAAATCGTGGACTATTTTCTTTTTAGAATACCTTTAATTGGTGCTTGTATAATTCTGTAATTTTACAAGCATGTTCTAGAAATCATGGACTATTTTCTTTTTAGAATACGTTAATAGGTGCTTGTATAATTCTGTAATTTTACAAAAAATTCCCATCGTTTTTCTTAGTAGTTCATTTTTTTTAAATGATTATATGGCATTATCTATTTAGAATTTTCTTTTTATATGATTGATAATGTATACATTCTGCATACATATTTAATTGAACTTAAAATTTCTAATAAAAATAATATTCTCTATTATCATGAAACCACTTGAAAGATTTATTTTATATTCATTATTGCATGAAATAAGTTGGGTTGCGCAAAGATTGGACATTATAACGATCTAATTGTTATCATGAAACCACTTTATAGATTAATTTTATATTCATGATTGCATGAAACAAGTTGGGTTGTACAAAGATTGGACATTGTAACAGTCTAATCGTTGCCTCGATTTATTGTAGCTATCTTGGCCTCTGTATAATTTGCCACCTTTCTACTACACGTACGTAATGGGAACTAAGAAAAGGCTGATTCTGCATGACCAAAAAAAGTACAGATACTCATTGAACAACAAGAAGACTGAACTACAAAGAAAATATTACATCATAACAATAGCTCAAAAGAAAATAGAACATGAGCTGAAAATTGCTCTTATTTAGGTGTTGAATACTTATCTACCAATCAATATAGTGGCTTAGTTCTTAGGAGGTTCATGAATTGGTGGTTTAGGTTCATACACTGGAGGTTTCTTTGGAGGTTCATGAACTGGTGGCTTAGGTTCATAGACTGGAGGTTTCTTTGGAGGTTCATGAACTGGTGGTTTAGGTTCATACACTGGAGGTTTCTTTAGAGGTTCATGAACTGGTGGCTTAGGTTCATATACTAGAGGTCTCTTCGGATGTTCATGAACTGGTGGCTTAGGTTCATACACTGGAGGTTTCTTCGGAGGTTCATGAACTGGTGGCTTAGGTTCATACACCGGAGGTTTCTTTGGAGGTTCATGAACTGGTGGCTTAGGTTCATACATTGGAGGTCTCTTTGGAGGTTCATGAACTGGTGGCTTAGGTTCATACACTGGAGGTCTCTTCGGATATTCATGAACTGGCGGCTTAGGTTCATAGACTGGAGGTTTCTTCGGAGGTTCATGAACTGGTGGCTTAGGTTCATACACTGGAGGTTTCTTTGGAGGTTCATGAACTGGCGGCTTAGGTTCATAGACTGGAGGTTTCTTCGGAGGTTCATGAACTGGTGGCTTAGGTTCATACATTGGAGGTCTCTTCGGAGGTTCATGAACTGGTGGCTTAGGTTCATAGACCGGAGGTTTCTTCGGAGGTTCATGAACTGGTGGCTTAGGTTCATACACCGGAGGTTTCTTTGGAGGTTCATAGACAGGAGGCTTGTATGGCTTAGGCTCGGGCTTTTCCTTCTTTGGTGGGTTGTAAATTGGTGTTGGCTTAACCTCTGGCGGTTTGTGAACCGGAGCCGGTGGTTTCCCATAATTGGGTGACTCGTACGTACCAAGGGAGGGAACGGTGAGAGCCACCACTCCCAGGAGCAATACTACCAAGTTTGTAAAACCCATCTTTCAACTCTCTCTTCCGATGTTGCAGCACTAGCAAGATTGGTCTTTTTATAGTGGAAAACGAGCGTTATTAGTCTGTGTCGAAGTTTCATTTGTTTCAATAATTTTCCAAGTGGACATGCTTGATTGTCAGTTTTTATTCATTCATAAACGTTATAGGGTCTATTTAGGCACCCACTTAGTTAAAAATTTGGACTATCGACATATGGCCTTCTCCATCGTTATAGAAAGATTATACGAGTGTGATTTTAGCAGCTGTATTTGCTTCTTTCTACAAGACTCCGTTTGCCCCTGGTTTTTAATAAACTTAAGTAAATGGGTTTAAAATTTACAGCCATTATGTTGATGTATAAATTTTATATATCACTTAATAGTATGATGACACATTATTAAACTTAAATTTTGAAAACAATTTTAAAATTTCATGATAATATATATTATAACATTATTTATCTCACTGAAAATATATAAAATTATACATTATTAGTGTATCAATTATTAATCTAATCTTATTTTAAAATTCATCTTCCCTATTGGTGGAAGTTTTGGCAATCCTGTGGCAACATGCACACATTTGATTTGGTTCATTTTAAGATGTTTTGGGTTTAAACCATTTTTGATGTTTTTAGGTTAGATCATATGAGTTTGTAGAGGTCTTGTTTATATGTTATAATTATTTTGGAGGTTACGATACTCCTGTATCTGAAGGATATAGATCTTAATTAAGAGATAGCTGTTAGTTTTCGGAAGTGAGCTCCAGACACACGACACTTCTCGTTATCCTTGAATAAAAGCCAAAGCTGAAGACTCGATACTATTCAAGGTAATTCAATGGTTGAATTGATAGAAAATTACTTTGTATTGAAGAGTAGCTAAACTGTTTGGTGAACAATTACTTGAAATGATATTATTTATTTCCTTTTCATTGTAATAGTAATTAATCCTATTTACTGTATTTTAATGGCACCATAAAGTATTTCAAAACTTTGATTGCAATTGGGAAGTTCAAATTGTACTGAAGTTACTTGTACTATGCGTTTTTTTTCGTAGATTTAATCCTTTGTTCCATTGAGAAAGGATAGAATTTGATCCATATGAATCTTGTCTTCAAGAAAATACTGTCTTCTTTTCATGGCAGATTTGGTAGAACTAATTCTGAAGAAAAAAGAGCCCTGAACACTGGTCAATAGTTCGATGAACCAGTATGATTCATATGGATTCCGGTAGCTATTAAGAAGTTGAGCAATTGACTCGGTTCAGCTGTTCAAGGGATTGCAAGTTGTGCATTCTATTTTGATAACAGTTTCTTGTTAAAGGTTCCGGCCCATTGCTTCATGATGGGTCAAACTTGTAGTATTGACTCAGAGGAATATGGGCTATATAAATTGAAGAAGAGTAAGGGGTCAAATCATGTATCTTGTTGCCCATAAAATTCTTCTAATCACCCAGCTCAGTTAATAGAGTACAAGTTTTTTAATCTTGGGGTCGTGAGATTAAGTCCCACGGAAGTCATTTCATAATTCAAAAGTAATTACTCTCAACGTTGGGACAACCTACTATCCTATCTCCTTTTACTCCTATTACATATGGAAATAACTCCATTACATATGAGAATAATGGACAGCTAATTTAATGGATTTATTCACTGTATTGATTAGCGTCATTGAGATTTTTTATGCTATTAATCCTTTGTGTGATCGTTCTGTGCAGTGTATTCTCTTTACCTTCTCTCTTACTCTTTTACCTTTCATTCTTCATCTGCCTTCTGTTTTTTTTTCAACTTGCTTCTATCTGGGTTCTTCAAAATGGTATCATTCGCTGATGGTCCAGGTGACTGTGGGAAGTTCGTATGATGCGTTCTCTTTATCTTTGCTTCGATCTCTGTGGTTCTTGGCTCAATCATGGTGGGTAGTGACATTGCAAATGGTTCGGTAGTTACAAGAAAATCTGAATCAATGTTTGGTAACAAATATGTTAAGATTCGCCTTGATGACTCTAATTTCCTTCTAGGGAAGCAGCAAGTGTTGTTCATGGTTCGTGATTATGAACTGGAGCATTTCTTAGATGGATCTGTGTTTGTTCTTTCACAAATGATTGTTGATGAATGTGATGAACTGGTGGTTAATCTTGCATATAGTCAATACATGAAGCAAGATAACTCCCTAGAATCATGGTTTTTATTGACCATCAGCCCTTCGATCTTGCCTCAGTTGGTTGGAGCAGAGACTACGGCTCAGATATGGAGCACAATTCTTAAACTGTATTCTAAACTTACCACTACAAAAATAATGAGTTTGCATTATAGGTTAAGGTCTCTTAAAAAAGAGATATATCGATTCGTGAGTTTGTTACTCAAATCAAGGAGATCTGTGATCTTTTATCAACAAGTGGGACTCTGGTGTCAGAGGTAGAATAGATTGTTACTCTTGTCAATAGAGTGTTGTTTAAGTTTAAACCATTGTCGCAGTTATTACTGTGAGACATGAACCATATACATTTGACACTATAACGTCTGTTCTTATTGATGCAGAATCTCATGTCAAGGATTCGACTAGGTTACTTGTCAGCACCAACATGAAAAGGCATGACCGCGGATGAGGATATGGAAACAATAAAGCTAGAGGTGATGAAAATCAAAGTGGTAACAATTAAGGTAATAATCAGGGCAACGGTGAGTACAAAGGTCGACCTCGTCATAAGTGCCAGCTCTGTGGTAAATTAGGCCACTTGGTTGATAAGTGTTGGCATACGTTTGATCAGGACTTCAAAGGGGTGGGAGCGTCTTGATCTAAAAACAATAGTGATATAGAAGCCAATGCGTGTAAATTCACTCCTAAGTTTACTGACCCATGTTATAATCCATTTGTTAGTTCTTCTACGAGGACAAAGGTCTTTGTTGGGGATAATACTCATTATACTGCCCATGTCAATTCCTTTATTGCTAAAAGGTGTTCTCTTGCTCTTGAATCGTTGGTTTCCTTACTCAGAAGCCACACATCATGTGACTTATGAACAGTACTGCTCCAAAGGGTCAACATTATACAAGTAATGGTAAGGTGATTCTGGGTGAAGCTTTTACTCTTGATATCTCGTATATAAGAAAAGTTTTCCTGCTGCTCATAATTTGGATCTTGATCATGTGCTTTGTGTTCCTCATATTACTCAAAATTTATTTATATGTCTAATTTTTTTCTGTGTCTAGGTTTACTCATGACATAATGTTTATCTTGAGTTTCATTCAACTAAATGTTTTGGGAATGATGAAACCACTGGGAATGTTCAATTGGAAGGTAAAATGGTGGATGGGTTTTACTCATTGAACCTTCTATTGTTCATCACAGTTCAATACATCATGTCACTACATCGTTATCATCTCTTGATAATCAAAACATCAATGGTGTCAAAACTACTGGTTGGACAGCTGTGCCTGGGGTATCTTGCATCAAACACTGTGCATAACATTCTAAAAACACATGTTAATAAGAATGTATATACTATATATGGTACATGTAAATTTGGAAATAGTTGTTGCTTACCATTTTCTAGGTCTACTTCAGTTTACAATCATATGTTTGAGCTAGTTGAGTTAGATGTATGGGGACCTGCACCAATTAATTCGGTTGGAAGTACTATGTTTCATTTGATGATCTGTACAACAGAAACTGTTGGAATTACTAGTTGAAAAATAAATATGACGTTACTCAAGCATTTAACATGTTTTATGTTATGGTTAAAAATCAATTTCAATGTAATTTGTTAGCGTTGCAAACAGACGGGTGGTGAATTTTGCGTGCTAGGTGCCCAGCTTGCAATTGCATGGGTGCAACACAGGGTTACGTGCCCTCATGCCTCTCAACAAAATGGTGTGGTTGAGAGAAGACACAACATTGAGATGGAGATTGATGGGTGCATCTCAACTTCATCATAATAATACTCCAATGGATATAGTATTTCAAATTTCCATAACTCTAGCCAAAACTTTTCTTTTCAATTGAAGCCTTCCTTTTGCTTTTGTGATAACAATTTAGGGTCAATGCTGTCGTTAAAATTTACGGTAAACTATATAGTTAGTTGCTAAGTTATTAGTACAGTTATATTTTGATTATTTAACAATTTTTAAAAATTATATCTAACGTTATATTTTAGTTTTATTTTGATTATTCACTATAAAAAATTAACTGAATTGTTGTTGTGATATTCTTTTACTTTTTTTAATAATAATGTGAAATTACCTTATAGTGACACGTTAGTATCACCATTATTTTTTTAATGACCAAAATAAAATTAAAACGTAAAATTAGGTAACAAAATCACATGAAAATTTGGATGACTAAATGTATAGTTTTCTCTAAAATTCCCTTGATTTTCCATATATCAATTTTATTATTTTAATAAAGATTTAAAAATATGTGTAGACATAGTAGTAAATTTTAATGTATTTAAAAGGGATCCAAGCACAATTCATAACAAGAAATTTTAAAGTTTTTTTAGACTTAATTCTTCATGGTTATTGAAAAGTATTTTTTTTAAATGCTATTGAAAATATTGTGAAAAAATTATAAACCGTTAATTTAAATATTTGTTGTTACTCATTTAAAAGTTATATTTATTTAAAAATATACGTTTGAAAGTATAATTAATTGAAGAATAAATAAGATGTTTCAATAATTTTATAATAAAAATACTTTTAAAAAATCAGGGTACATTTGATTCTAAAAATATTTTTTGTTTTGTTTTCATAAAATAGTTTTCATTTTCCATTTTCTGAAAATTAGAAAGCTATCTTTGGT